TGAAGCAGATGCGCGGAAGCCGCCTCGGAGGAGCGTACCGAGGACGACAGGCTCATCTTGCCCTCGTGGGCCTCAAGGTGAATCGTGAACGGAGTGGTCGCCCTCTCTTCGACTAGGAAACCAAGGATCTGTCCCCGTCATCCTCGTCCATAACAGGAGGAACATCCAAGTCTGTCCTTAAGCTTCGTCATCCTCCAGCTGCAGGGTGATTCTGCCTTCCCCCCCGGCCCTGTGCGCTTGGCCAGTTCCCTCGAATCGGGGTCCCCCCCATCTTCCCCCTCCCCCTCCCCCTCCTCCTCCTCCTCTTCCCCCCTTTGCGCCTTCTCTTCTCTCAAGCTCGATCGCCTTTCTCCTGCTCGCTCACCTCGATGTTCCAGTAGGAATCGCGCGAGCCATTGGTGTAGCACTTGGAGTTGATCCTTGCTTCTCCGTTGGGGTTGGCCCACAGACCGAACAGCTACAGCTCAGCGTCAGTGCCTACCGCCTGGTAGACTCCTGCTCACCAGGTTCTCCTGCGGGGGAGAGAGGGAGGAGAAGAAGTTGAGGTGCGGGAAGAACCTCCCGGTGTCTCCCAGCATCGAGTTTGTGCCCACCGGCCTTACCCAGAAGGAGATGGTGAAGTCTCCACCCTCAGCCAGCATCTTCTTGGTGAACTCCTCCACCGGCTTCATCTCGAACCCGCAGTACTCATCGATCGAGGCCTCGAGCTCGTCACAGACCGTCACGTTAACACGCCTCCCTCGCCTCGGGGCTGTTCCTTTTGTCGCCATGCTTGCCGCCCACGACTCGGGGAACAGCTCCTGCTTGTAGCTCGCTCCGCTCGCCCACTTGCGGCATTCAGCCACCACGCTCGCCTTGGAGTAGCTGCTGCCCAGGCAGATGGTGCCGTTAGGAGACTGAGCAGGGATCAGCCTTGTTCGGTCCCACACGAAGAAGGGAGAGGCAGCGGTGAAGTCTTTGAAGCACTCCTGCTTGCTCCCGCATGAGTTGGGGCAGTTTTGCTGAGCCTCGGAGGAGGAGCAGACGGCGGGAGTGCTCTGCTTCGCCTGGTAGTACCACGAGCATCCGTGACCGTAGGGGTCTGACCAGACGCCGTCGTCCTGCATGTCGGGGCTGGAGACATTCAAGCAGTGATCCTTTCCCAGCACAGGGGCGAACTGGATCGACTCCCTCCAGATGTCGCGGGCGGTGAGGATGCCGCTGATACTGTGAACGTACATGCGAACATCGTAGAGCTCGATCGGAGCCCCGTAGGTGTAGCCCGGGGCTGAGTGGCCGATGGAGATCTCCTTGTAGGGGCCAAGACAGTCAGCCTGTGCGAGCGAGTCAGCTGAGGGAGGAGAACAAGGAAGGAGGACCTGGGCAATGCTTCCTCCCCAGTCCTTCTCCATGGCGAACTTGCCGTCCAGGAAGAAGCGAGCCTTGTTGGTCTTCTCGTCCAGCTGATACACCACGTGCCGCCAGTACTTGTCGCCGGAGAAACCAAACTTGGGGTCAATGCCGTAGTCAGCGAAGTGAATGTACCCTGAGTTAGGGGCGCCGTCAATCCAGAAGGCCTGGTTCTCGATCCACAGGCTCCAGCACCACGAGTTGAAGCTCGCGTTCCCCTGCGAGGTCACGGAGGGAGGAGGGAACTGTCCCGCCTGGAAGACGTAGACGCCGCAGGTGTCGGTCAGGCAGGGGATGTGGCGGTACCAGAAGCTGAGAGTCATGCCAGTGCCATGAAAGGAGGGCACGTTGGTGAGGTAACGAGCGTCAGTGTCGCTGGTCTTGGAGAGGCGCGCAGGGTCTGATATGAGAGAGTAATAGGATCGGTTGATCAGAGAGTCCCACGATAGGGTCAGCGTCCCGTTGTGCGAGCAGTTGGGCTCTGTCACCCCTGCAGGGTATGTCGGAGATGCGTAGGATGGAACAGCAGGAGAAGGAACGGAGTCAACAGTCTGGCGAGGAGGAGGAAGATGTCAGAGGACGCAGCTGACTGGCTGACGTCACACGAACCTGAGACAGGAGCGCCTCGTCCTGTAGCTGCTGGCGATCGCCGATGAGGGACTCAACCTGCGCTATGGATCCAAGGATCTCCTGCTTGGTTGCCAAGCTCTCGCTCTCGCTCACATCCGATGCCTGCGACCCCGTCGACAGGTCGGACAAGCGCATGCCGTATTGGAAGATCTCCGCGATGTCTGAAACAGTCAAACTCTTTGGATAGAAGCGAAGCTGACCCAGCTCCATGTTTGCCTGGCCAACTAAGATTCCTTCCGTGTTGTAGCAGTCTGTGAGAGGCCGAGGGAGAGAAATGTTGCCGAGAAGCACTGTGTTCCTGTAGAACAGGACGACCTGAAGCAAGGTCAGGGGGTGCGGGTGTACTTGTACTGTCACTTACCTTCTGCGTCACTATCATAGTCATCAGAGCATACTCATCGATGATCATTGGGCGAGGTTTAGGGAGCTTAATCTCCAGTTGCCTACCAAGCAGTCATGTCTGTGAGCTACACTCCTCGTGCAAGCGATGAACTCACTGAAGCCTGTTGTTGATATTCCAGATGTCGATGGGAAAAGTGTCATGCATCCCGTATCGGAATTGAGGGCCCGTGAAGCGGTCGAAGTACCACCCCCAACAGCTCTGCAGGCTGAGCTCAGTACCACCCGTACTTCCTCATCATGGCGACCAACCAGATCTGATCCTGAGCCTGCCGATACGAGCCGTTTACGAAAGACGTACCCGCTGGTGAAGTCTGCGCTGACTCGCATCCATGTTGTGAAGGAGATCTGTGCAGAGAGTGAGCATGTCTCCTTGATGCTCTCTCACTTGCCTCGGGTGCTTGGATGCTCAGCTGCACGTTGCCGAGAACAGCAGGAGCGGTGAAAGATCGCAGAGACCCCAATATCTGAACGTTGCCTTGATCTTGCGTGTCGAAGTACTGCAGACAGCCGTCATCGTCGAAATGTAACACTGGAGAGCCAGACCTGGGAAGAGAGGACAAAATGCTTGCGAGATTCTGAAGAGATGGACTGGAGGGCTTGCGTGAAATCGGCTCGCGACTGTGATGGTTGTTAGAAGCCAGATTGTCGGTCAGAGTGAGTTCACCTGGATGGTAGCCACCTCTTGGAGGTTGAAGGAGCTGGTAAGGTAGTTGTAGATGCCTCGTGTGGCTGGCCCATCATTCGCAAACCCTAGAGCGATCAGAAGAAGAGCGAAGACCATCGCTTGATTCAGCAGCTTCAGCATCCCCGTTATAAACTCGTGCTCCAGCCCAAGCCGCTCCACTAAGTTGGCGCAGTGCAGCCGCTCTTTGTAGATCTTGCGACGGATGCAGGACTGGAGGGCAACAAGAGAGGACATCTGTCGATCCTGCAGCTTCCCGCTCTCCTTCCCGACGTCTCCGTTGCCTGCCATGACCACCTCGGCTGTCGAAGCTCCGTGCATCCCCGATCACAAGGAACGCAGGGTGGGTGGGTGGTCACAGCAATGCCCAAGTACCGTACCTTCATGGAACAGGAAAATCACTGATATAATGGGGGTGGGGGTAGGGTTAAAAAAACTGTACCGCTCAGGGAAACATCATGATGTAGGGTGGGGTGGGTACTCGTTAGGACTGGAAGGGGGGAGGGGTCAGGATTGATTGGGGAGGAGTCTTGAGTACCGCATTCACACTTGGGGGGTGGGTACTCAGTATCAGTTCAACGGTTTTCACTGGAGTTGCGTCGGGATGGGGTAAGGGGTGGGTCATTTACAGGCTGGTAACCGGGGAGTAGGGGGTATCGCTGCTGAGACCGAATCTTCACTGCAGGGCTTCTAGTAGGGTCAGGGTGGTCTCACGGGACCTCCGGGGGTGGGGTCACACTGCCTGAGGGTCCATGCCACTTCTTTACTCGGAGAGTCAAAGTTAAAACTTTCGGCTACTAACGCCGGGCCCCGCCGGGGGCCCGGCCGCCGCCCAGCCTGCGGCAAACACCGGGCTTTCAAAAGTATGATGATCGGTCCGTCCGACTCCAGTCCCCGGGCCCGGCCCGGACACTGTCACACAGTCACCGCCGTGATGCCGGCCCGGGCACCGGGCCGGGGGCCCGGGGCCCGGCCCGGCCGCCCGCGGCCGCTGCCGCTACTAGCCTACGGTAGTTGTGACTTGCCAATGATCATTTCATTGAATCATGTGATACGCCCGGCCGCTGCCAGACCGTCGGCCCGGGACTCGAGTGACTTCACTCACTACCGTGATTGAAATTCTCATTCACTGTCAAGCCAAGTTCATTTACCGTCAGTCAGTCACGGACTCGCCGTGACTAGTAGCCATGATTTCCCGGCCCATGACTCACCGCCGCCCGGCGGCCGGGCCCACTGCCAGCCGTCACCGTCTGTGACTCTGTGACTACTAACTTAAGCTAGTCACACTGAGGTTCCGAACTACCGGCGGCCGGGCGGGCCGCAGTCCGTGCCGCCACCAGTGAGTACGGTGACAGCGTCGGGCCGGGCCGCCGGCGGCGCAGCCACTGTCCGGTCGGATCGAAGGACCTTCACTCCAGGCTAGTCTGGCAGTCACTGGGCACTGCAGGCTCCCGGAGTCCTGCGGCCGCGCCGCGGGCGAGACCGGGGCCGGGGCCTGACCGGCCCGGCCGCCCGGCCGGGCCTGCCGGGAGTCCGAGCCGGGCCCTGAGGGCCGCGGCCGGCGCGGGGCGCCGCGGCCGAGGGCACTGCCACTCTGCGGCGGCAGGCTGCGCGGCCTTCAGCCCGGCCTAACTTGCTATGGTCACGGAGCCAGGCTGGGATGATGACCGGCGTACCATGCGGCAGTAGAGGGAATGAAGAGCCTCAGGTGTAGGGGCACCGGGGGAATGTACCGCGCCGAACAAATGAAACGTTGCAAATTACGACTGCTCTAGGTAGCATATTGGGGTGTTCACGCCCGGTGTCGTTGGATTCGGGATGTAAGATGAGGGTCATGGTAGCTTCGAGGTATAAATGGACGGGTACCTTGCTGAGGAATTTATGGGGTGAGTAGGGGTGTATGCTGAAAACGGTAGGGTGGGGACGCCTCATCAAATGAAAAGTCGCTGAGGCGGACTGGTCTGGCCCAGATTTGCTCCTTGTGGTTAACGTATTGTGTTATCCATATGAATCGTTGACATTCAACAACGTTTCACGATTTCCGTTATTTAATTGCCATCGCACCCATCCAATTTGAATGAGTACCGGTTATTTTCCAGTCGATATGACGGGTACATAGGTGTACCCTACCCGTCGTTTCTGACCTCGAAAGTTCATGACTAGAAGCAAAACCAGCAGGCAGAGAAATAAAACCAAGAATTGACTGCATGCTGATTCTTTACTAAAAATGACCAAATGATATTATGAAATTTCAAAATAGCTTGCGATACCTTTCCAAATTTTTCTATTTTACTGCAATATCACCCCCCAATCTCAAGAATTCGGGGTCAGCCCCCATCTCCTATCTATACTGCGACCCGCCCTTCCTCTCCTCGCAATCTCTCGCTCCCTCCCCTTCCCCACTCCCCTTCCTCCCTACACAAGGTGCCTCCCTTCCTTCAGTCACGTTGTTTCTACTGGCCCTCAATCTCCCTCCTCTTCCCTGGCTCTCTGATTTCTGCTGAAGTTCAACAAGCTTTGAAACGAAGAAGTTTTTGCTGCAAAATACTCCAAGAAGTGAAAAAGTTGTCGAAGGAATAGCTTGCAAATAGCTGGTTACGGGATCGACTTGACAATGAACTCGTCAGCCACGATGCAACAAGGCAGCCATTGCGATTCCAATCCAGACCTAGAGCAAAGGGCGAATAACTTCTTGCACCTGTGCCTCAAAATGTGCCAAGGAGATAGAGACATAGAGGAACGAACGATCCTGAGATGCCGCTCAGAGGGAAGCAACCAGCCGCAGCTGGCAAGAAACATTCCCTTCTGTGAGTCGAGGACAGCTTCCGCACCAGCCTCAACCAACTCCAACGGGAAGAAGAAAGTTAGATTCTTCAACGAGGTTGATGCCTGCCCTATACTTCTGCCTCCTCCATGATCCCTTGTCCTTGCTCACTTGTACCTCCTTCTTGCTTCGCTCACAAAAAGTGTCACAGGAAGGCGATGAGCAGCACAAGGGGAATATTCATCTGATCTACACGGAGAGCAAGAAGTTCAAAATGTTCAGAACCATCCCAGACGAGCAGATCAAGGCATGCGTATCAAGGATGACCACCAAGTGCTTTCGGGCTGGAGAGATGGTGATAAAGAGCGGCACTTTCGGAGCTTCACTGGTAGCTTCATGCTCCCTTCTCTTGCTGTGCCTGACTCAAGCTTCAGTTCCTCGTCGACTATGGACGAGCTGCCGCTTACGTTGACGGCATGGAAGTCGGAAAGATCGGCAGAGGAGACGTGTTTGGAGAGATGTCTTTCCTGGGAGCTCTGGAGTGCTACATCAAAAACGACAAGATCGTCCAACCAAGAAGAAGTGCAGATGTCATCTGTGAGACTAGCTGCCGCCTGCTCGAGTTCAGCGTGGAGGACCTTGTGGAGGCTCTCAAGGACGACAGAAGAAGCAAACATGATCTCACCCTGTGCGCTGTTGCCCCTGTGCTCTCCAAGTTATCTCTGACCTGTTCCACGCAGCTCCCTCTTGCAAACTGCCACCATCCGACGCGGAAGGTGTCTGGTTCTTCGAAATCAGAAGATCTTCGACGTTGAGAGTATGAGGAACCTCTAGACGTGTGTACCCTATCCTGGCAGCGAACGGGGATAGATGATAGTGTTACAATTAGCGTGTATGTTTGTGTGTCCTCACTAGGAACTCTCTGGTTATCTAGCTTTCGTCTGTAAATACATTTGACTCAATCCAAGTGCCTTGCCTTGTTTCGACTTGTCCCCTTCTTGCGGTACAGCATCGTCCCTGCACTCTTGTCAGCTCGACCATCTGACGAATGGTGCTATCACCTCTACTCAAGAAACTCTTGACGCTGCTGGTACACACGCAGAGTCATCCAAGCATGATGACACCATGGAGGTACATGTTCACCTGAGATGACTTGCTTCTCTTGATCCTTCCTCGTCTGGTCAAATTGAGTCAGAGAGGTGAAGAACGAGTTAAGGTCCTCTAGTCACTTCTGGTCTCGTACACTACAATGGGATGCTCGACGCTTCTTTCCATGCTGCTGCCCTTCTTCTCGCCCATAGTGTCACCAACACAATTGAGCGCATACATTAACGCGAGCGAGACCTTGGATGGGTGGATCAGATTTGAGATGTGCGGCTGCTCTTGGGACGAGGCTGTAGAGTTGCGTGCGTCAATTCAAGATGCTCTGCCCCGGAGCGTCAGGACCTGATTCATACTCTCTTCTTCCCTTGGAGACATTCATCTGCACACACCATCAGCATCCTCAAGCGCCCGGGCCCATCACTACCTTGGCTCTCACCGCCCATTCCCTCAGTTTACTCAGCATCCGGGGAGACAAGGCTGAGTAGACAGGATCGAACGAGACCTGCCGTCCTTGAAGCACACACTGGATAGCTGAGATCCAGTTGTCTCTATACGCGGAGTTCATGGTACGAAATACATATCGCTTCTGTTGCAACGTCAGAGCGTGTCGTCGCTCCTCTTCCTTGGCTCACTCTCTCATTCGCAACGACAAAGATCTCGTCTCCAAACGTCTGCTCGGTTTCCTCGAGGTCCCTGGGGCTCTGCAACAGCCTACAACGCAACATGCACATCATCCCCAGTTGCAGGTACATGCAGGCTCGTCCATGCGCACCTGAATGAATGGACGTCGATCTTCTTGGTGACTGCGCTAGCACATTCAAGAACTTGACATGCCGTGAGCATCAGGGCTCTCTCACCCGATGAGAGGTATCTCCTCTGTGTCAGCTGCATGCTCCCGTCCTCTCGCAGCACACACTGCACGCTGTCCGCATGCCCTCAGTTCACTCTCGAGGTTTCATCAGCTCCAACCTAGTCCAAGAAGCGATCTTGAGGCGGGTCTTCTTCCTCCACAGCCACCCGCTAGAGACAAAGGACTGTCAGGCAAAGGAGCTGTAAATAGCTGAACCTACGAGATGACGACGCTAGACATGGTAAGGCTAAGGCTTAACTCCTACCGATTGATTAGATTGTTCGCTGCCAACACGACCGTGAGGCCATGAGCATTGTCAACCCGCTTTCTAGATCTGCCGCAGAAAACCATCAAGAGAATATCCAACCATGGCACAAGAACCAAAGACACTTGTGAGCTGGGAGAACGATGCAATCAACAATCTGAGTATGGATTGGAAGAGGAAAGGAGAGGGAGGAAAGCAGAAGGAGAGAGACGGAAGGTGCGGGCGAAAGCAGGAGATGGGGGAGGGTTGAAGGATGGGTGCAGTGGAAGGAGCAGGTGGAGCAGGAGGAGCAGGTGGAGCAGGTGGAGCAGGTGGAGCAGGTGGAGCAGGTGGAGCAGGTGGAGCAGGTGGAGCAGGTGGAGCAGGTGGAGCAGGTGGAGCAGGTGGAGCAGGTGGAGCAGGTGGAGCAGGTGGAGCAGGTGGAGCAGGTGGAGCAGGTGGAGCAGGTGGAGCAGGTGGAGCAGGTGGAGCAGGTGGAGCAGGTGGAGCAGGTGGAGCAGGTGGAGCAGGTGGAGCAGGTGGAGCAGGTGGAGCAGGTGGAGCAGGTGGAGCAGGTGGAGCAGGTGGAGCAGGTGGAGCAGGTGGAGCAGGTGGAGCAGGTGGAGCAGGTGGAGCAGGAGCAATGGGCGGGGACCAAAGGGGTGCGATCATGAATGCAGTCAAACTTGAGAAGGACCTCAGGGTCTGAGCGTCCCTATGAATGAGGTCTTAGTAAGTTTTAAACTTCCTATGACTAGGCCCTAGCGCGTGAGGTCTAGTCTCAGCTATGGTAAATGCGGCGATGCCAAGTAGAGGTGAATGAGGGAAGATAGGAGAGGAGAAGAGGAGTAGGAGGTAGAGGGGACAGGTCAGATCAGCTCAGATCAGCTCAGATCAGCTCAGATCAGCTCAGATAAGCTCAGATAAGCTCAGATAAGCTCAGATCAGCTCAGCCTTTTTAGCGGGAAGGATGCCGGAAGGAGAAGAACAGACGAAGGCTGGAAGTCTACTATCAGGTTCAATGGATTTGACATAGATCATGGCTTGGGCAGCGACAGGTATTCTCACACACATACTTTGATACGATACAAGACAAGGTAGCGACGAGGACTGGTTTGAAACCTCCTGGGACTCCCGACAAACCGAACCGCTCCAAGGATGTTGGCCATGCAAAATGCGCTACAGCAGCAGCCGTCGAGGACGATGAGCAAGATCAACCTCAAGAGGCAACTGTCTAAGACAACGTCCATAGTCCCGGGCTCCAACGACGACTCGTCCTCCTCCAACCCGAGGCAGCAGTCGCTCCGGTCAATGGCGCGGAAGGGCAGCTTCAAGAAGATCCACTTGCGGTATCTTGCAGAGGATCATGGGATGTTGAGCCAGAGGAGGGTGAGCCTCGGGGACTCCGAGGGGCTCAAACCTCTCTCCCTCATCCAGCGAACGTTCCGTTCCTGGCGGACCATGAACTTGGCTTCACTGTTCGACAGCAATGAGGAGGGGAGCCAGGAGGGGTCCAAGACGTACTCGATTCATCCTCACTCTCCCTTCTCACAAGCGTGGGAGTTCACCTCCGGCATCCTCCTGATTTACGTCACGGCCATCACTCCGCTCTCAATCGCCTTCTACAACCAGGAGAACGGCTGGTGCCAGCATCCCCCCACCCTCAGATTCGACCTCTTCGTCGACCTCTTCTTCGTCTTGGAGATGCCCGTGCATTTTCTCACTGGCTTGTTTCGCAACGGGGAGTACGTCTCTGACCTGCGGGCCATCGCAGGCATCTACGTGCGGCGAAACTTTATTATTGACCTCCTTTCCGCCTGCCCCATCTCCTGGCTAGAGTACTTCCTCACGCCTGACCTCTCTTGCAACCAGCAGCAGGGGGTGAACGTGCCTTTCATCCGCTACCTCCGCCTCATCCGTATGCTCCGCCTCCTCCGCCTCCTCAAGGTTCTGAAGATCTTCGACGTCCTCCGCGACTTCTTTGCCGTCCGCCCCAACATGATCCGCATCCTCAAGAGTGCTTTCTCCGTCTGCCTCATCGCACATGTCGGAGGGTGCGGCTGGTGGTACATCAAGGTCCAGTACTCGACGCCGCAGGATCTGCTCCTCTTTCGGTCCGAGAACAATGTTCTTGACACTATCCAGTCAAGCTACCTCGTTTCCATCTACTTCCTCATGGCAACTCTCTGCACAGTTGGGTACGGGGACATCAGCGCAGAGCAAGATGACGATCGTATCCTCATGATCTTCGTAATGCTCATCGGGGCCTCGCTCTTCGCCATCATCATCTCCAACATGAGCAACCTCGTCTCCTCCATGAACGCCAAGGACGACGAGATCGAGGATCATATCGACCAGGTCCTCCTCCTCATCCGCAGGTTCAGCCTTCCCAAGGACCTCGAGCTTCGCGTCATCAAGTTCTTCGAGTTCAAGGCACACGGCGCAAAGCTCCACCAGCGGCTCGCAGAGATCGACGACCTCCCGAAGTCCCTCGGGGACGAGCTCGAGCTCGCCCACATCCTCCCCCTTCTTCGCAGCAGCTGGATGCTTCAGAACATCTCGCTGGAGTGCGCCACCACCATTGCGTCGGGGTTGCGCTACGGCAGCTTCTGCAAGGTCATCATCACGGTCCCTGGCGAGAGAATCTTCCGCCATGGTGAGGACACATCCGCTCTTTTCATAGTCGCCAGCGGTAACGTGCAGCTGCTGCTCCCCCAAGGCTCTCAGCCGTACTCCATGGCCCGAGCTGTCGTGTGCTATGCTCGTGGGGACTTGCTGGGCTCTACAAGCTGCTTGATGCAGAGCTCGAGAGCATGCGATGCTTTCTCTGCAACGTACGCGGAGCTGGTGGAGATAGGCTGGAGCTTCTTCTCTGAACTCACCGCACAGTTCCCCGACTTCCTCAAGTGCGTCGAGCAAGCTGCGAAGCACGAGATGAGCCTCCTCCGCGGGCTGATGCGTCGGGAGGACAAGAAATGGACCGTCTGCGCTCCCGTCACCGCAGGCGACAAGTTCTCCTCCTTCTCCATGCGGCTGTGGCTCAAAGACATCATGAAGGAACAGCACGCGCACAGCGACATCGCGTCGGTCACGCGCCACCTCTTGCGCGTCCATGGCTTCTCCATGCAATGGGCATATCGTATGCAGCTCGTCGATGCTGTTGTTGCCCTGAGGGAACAAGACGCCGACAAGGAGGAGGTAGTCCAGTCGAGGAGAGGATCCCTGCCTTCGCTCCCCAGGTCCGGCAGTCAGATCTCTGAGCTCACATTGGAGGTGGAGCATGCAGACAGTGAGGCGGGGGAGCGCGTGTCTTCCGCTACCTCATCTCCCTCTATCGGCAAGGATGAAAACAACTACCCCAGAGGCGAGCTCCATCCTGAGGAGCAGGCGTGCATCCCCGAGGAATGGCTTCCTGCCTTCAATATCAGCGCGTCTTTGAAGGAGGTGATGGAGGAGAGGAGAGGAGAGGAGAGGAGAGGAGAGGAGAGGAGAGGAGAGGAGAGGAGAGGAGAGGAGAGGAGGAGCTAACGGCAGGTCAGGAGCTGGAGTCTTTGATGAGGCATGTGAGATACTCACAGGAGGTGAGACGGCTGCACGTCTTCTCCTCGGGCCTGACGCTGGGAGGCAGGTTCCATCAACCCCTTCAGGTACGCCGGCAGCAACGAGATGGTGAGACTTGACGGGAGTGCAGGAGAGCATTCAGACTACTTGCAACTAGACTCGGTGAGACTCGACCCCTCAAACAGCACTGGCTGACGAGCCTCCGGCAGGCGTCAAGCTTCAGGGATTTCACTCCGCTAGATGTGAGACAAGGATACATTCCTCTCCTCTTGCCGCCTCATCCCCTTGCAGGTCAAGTCCATCAGGTCCAGCGTCATGGCTTCTAGAGAGCTCGGCAAGATCGAATATGCATGTGCGAGCTCGATTCCTGTGAGAAGACTCAAAACATCGAATTTGCTAAATGCTGAGCAGCATTCTCAGGCCAAGATCTCCAAACTAGAAGTTGCCCTCAACGAATTATCCCTTCCTATCATGACACATCAGGCCAGCAGATGGGGCATCACAGTGAATACATAGATGCCACGACTAGAGTTTATTATTTTAATGCGGTGAGTAAAAAATAATTGGGACGCATCCAAACTGGTCGCATCCATCACCATTTCTTATTGGTGTAAAGATTCTACAGATGTAACTGTACATGATTTAGTACAAGGAAGTCTTCTTCATGATACGGATGAACTCCTCCTCGGAAACTTCACCGTCACCATCACGATCAGCCTCATCAATCATCTCTTGAAGCTCCTCGTCGGTCATGTTCTCACCGAGCTCCTTGGCCACACGCTTGAGGTTCTTGAAAGAGATCTTGCCAGTCTCATCATCATCGAAGAGACGGAAGGCCTTGATGATCTCCTCCATAGGATCACGCTCAGACATCTTTGCAGTCATCATCTCCAAGAATTCATTGAAGTCAATGGTTCCAGAGCCATCAGTGTCGATGTCAGCAATCATCTTCTTGATCTCTTCCTTCTTGGGTTCGAAACCGAGGGCACGCATAGCAACCTTCAACTCCTTCGCATCGATGGAGCCAGAGCCATCGGTATCGAAGAGATCGAAAGCCTCACGGATCTCCTGCTTCTGCTCCTCAGTGAGGGCGAACTTGTCTCCCTTCTGTTGCTGCCTGCGGCGAGCTGCTGGACGGCGGTAGTAGGCCTGTCACATTGTCAAAATATGACTGTACGTAACCCAGACTGCTCAAGGGATGCACGTACAAGAACGATCACAACAAAGTTCGCAGGATATACAAGACATCAACAGTTATCCAGGACTTCACGTCAGTCAAGGATGTCAACAGAGTGCAAGTTGCAAGCAAACAGTCTTTTTCCCAACACATATCCTTCACAGATCTCTATCATCGTGTCTCACCATTACTGGGGATTCCTCGGTGTGAGCGCCTCTCCTCTGCTGTGTTCAAACCACCCCCACTCCTACCCTACCATACCCTACCCCTTAACAAAACCTCTGAAGCACCGGTGCACATCACGCCACCCCACCTGTCCAATCACCTTAATTACTTGGGGTGATCGGTGGAAAAAAAAACTGTGGGGGTGGGGCTTTACGCGGCAAACACAGGGAGCCAAGAAAGAACAAATAGACGACATTATGTACATTTCTTCTTGACACAAGTTTGGTTGCCCGCACATAGAAATTCAAATTCTTTTTTCAATGAATCACCCGCCTGGCTTGCCGCGTCCTCCAGCCTACCCTAGGTCAGGACATTTCACTACCACCCTACCTCACCCAGGCAGCGCGCTTTCCTTTCTAGGCCGACACCACGCAGAATTTTGGACCCCACCCCCTCCTATTCCAATCGAGACCCGTTTCTTCTGGCTGTGCGCATCGGATGCGAGCCACCCTACCCTTTGTCAATCAAAGCCCGTAATCTGCCATTGGCGGCAAAAAAAATACCCTACCCCAAACGTAACCACCCCACCCGTGGGCCTTTCATAAGCAATCGAAATATTCAACAAAAGCTGCATCTAAATTTGAAAATTCCGCATATCATATTTCACAGAGTTGTGATTCAACTCACAAAAAAATTCCACTGACCACCCCAGATATCTCCCCACCCTGTATGCAAAAGGGATCCTCAGGGCTTTGACAAGGTGGGTACTCCCTCAAGCGCCCCTTCCAGTGGGGCGTTGTGCGTGATGGGTGGGGTCGTAAAATTATCAGCAGAACGGGTCCTTTTTCTGAGGATCAACGAGAAAGGGGGTGGGTGGACCTGCCTATCCCAAGGTCCGGTCCATGGCTGCCGCTCAGAGGTAGAATTTGAAACTGCAAGGTACAAATAATTACTCAAGTGATGAACTTGCAACGGTTACCACTCTGGTTCCCAGCCTACCCCACCCCCACCCCTTCGGTTGACACGAGGAAGTCCCTTTCTGTACCGTGTCCTCGATGAGTAAATAGTTCAGGAAGACATGGTACAGGTAAAAAAGTGTAATGTCCTACAGTTTTAAAAACAAATTGAAGATATTTGGTACAAAGATATTGTTGGTTTTACATCTGTCCTACTGAAGGATTGTCCTCGTACTAATTTTTAACTTAACTTTGAGTAAAGGAAGGATTCCAGTGCAGCAGCAGGGCCCCGTTAGCCCACCGGATATGACCGGGCCTGGCGAAACCAATGGAAATCGTTACATAATTGAAACGGGTATTTTTTTTTATTTTTGATGTTATGATGAAGATCAATGGCACAGAGATGAAATGAAACTATCTGATTGCCATTACCGCTGCAGCACCCAACAGCAGGAGTATGGTTTCCTTCAAGAACCCTGAAAGAAAGAATGCAAAAAACTTCCCACAGTCCAATTTTCACATTCTGAAAGTCATGATTGCATGTATCAATGGACTTTCCCCATCGATCAAGTGCTGGCTTGGAGGTCCATACTACATGAGGCCTCTGATCTTATTCTTTTCAATAGAATGGATAAATGCCGCCATGGCACAGGTGATTCGATATCTCGAATGGCAACAAAACTTGACATAGACGTGTTGCAGCCCACCTTGCCCAAAGTTCAAGCACGAATTCATGATGTTTCGTCCTTTAAAAGACTGCAGAAACGTTCTGTCCACTCTTTTCCACCAGACTTCAGGCTGATCCACACCAAGGATACAGAATATGTCTGTGCGTGCCATTCTGCAGCAAGCATTGCAGATCAAGAATTTTTTTTCGGAAATTGCTCTCTGGTCGACAGGATTTCTGGAAGAAATCGCATTCTGTGCATGAGAATCCTTCAGGAAGGTGATCAAGCTGAGCATGCCCGAGGTGGCAGATTGCGATTCTCTATCACAAGGCGATCTGGATGGTCCTTAGGTTCGTTTCAATGCGTGGAAGGAGTAAATGATGGGATTTCATGCGAGGTGAATACAGGACAGCGATATACCTACTGCCCCAATGGAGCATGCATAGCTGGCAGCCGAAAGTTCTTTGCCTCTTGGATCTTCGGCATTGTATTTGCTCTATTCGTGTCAGTAGCCATGGGAATCATATCGCTGGCGATGAAAATTTCAGCAGATCACAGGCGGAAAAAACGAGAACGACAATATACTGCTTGAAAAAGCACTGCTCTAATGTAAATAATGAACAAGCGTCCCTCTCAATAAGATTAAGAATAAAATCAAACTGAGTGTGTCTTGGTGACCCTTGCGAGCGAAAATGGTTGAATTCGGAAGTTTACATCAAAATTGAAGGGCAAGATCGAATTGATTTGAGAGTTAGTCAGGAGCACCCGTGAAATTATTGTCAATCTCGGCACAGAAAGCCAGCGAACAAAGGCAAGTAAACGAGCACACTTACCTTACAGACCAACCTTGTGATTTCTCGCACATTCCTGCTCCTATCGGCGTGCACAAACGCACTGTCAACCTGCCTCAAAGATGGTTTGAACAGTGCGATGGTTCCTTCAAACCTTCTTGTTTTGGTATTATGTATGGTTTTGAAAGCTTCCTTGGACGACATTGACTCACCATATGAGTTCTGGATGTTCAATCTTTCAATCACATTTGCATTTCCTTCACTGAAGAGCAAAGCAAAGATAATCAACACTGTCGGCAAAACTCGCATATTTGGTGTTCGATACGATTCCTACCAAAGGAGATTATCATGCAACGGGAAACAAAATGCCACAGTCTAGGTTCTACCAAATAGCAGACAGATAACAGGTTGACATTTGAAATCATTTAAGAAAAACTCCAGAAAGAGCTGTCGCCATGGCTTGCGGGCACTTATCAATAAATATTGATGTGTGTGCAGTATAAACAGGAATAATGTTCACCACCACAACCGAGCAGGCCCCTTTCTGAACTTCCTTCTACCCTCCCTCCTACCTTCTTTCCGACCCACCATCCCTCCCGCTCTCCTACCTGCCATCCTGCTCGACCTTCTATTCAATCCTACCAGCACTACTGTCTGAAGCTTCTCTGTGCTTGCTTCCCAGATCTTGTGCCGTGAACAAGCTTGTCATGCTCGTGCTTCTCTAGAGACTCGCTGCTGCTCAACGGCAGTTGTCTACAGGCGGTCGGGCAACCAAAAAAAAAAAAAACATTTGAGCTTTTATCAGCGAGCTCGCCTCAGTTTGAATACCGGGCCCGGAGCACTAGGCCATGGGTAGCTGTCAGAGCACTGAGGTTAAAAGGAAGAGACCTTATAGTAGGAGGGTGAGCAAAAGACTATGAATCGCCTCAGGACCATAGGGGCAGCCCCTGACCCTTAGGCCTTCGCCTCCTCGCATGGTGCTTTACGCCTCTGGGGTACCCATTTGAGGTTCGGCGGCCGCTAAAAAGCAGTTTTAGAATAATGGGTTTTATTTGATCCAGACCCCGTGTCCCTATAGTCCTTTACAGGTGGTTGAGAAGGGTGGGTAGTAACTGATTTTTTGTTGAGATCAGGGGTGGGGTTGGTGCTTAAAAGTATTATATTGTGGTTTCAAACGATGCAAAAAACCAATGTTTCGACTTTAGCCTCCACTTCTCAGTCCCAAATCAGATGTTTTCGCACGTTTGATCCCACATCCCCACCAAGCCCCACCCTGTCCCCACTTCCCCACACTGTCCCCACCCAACTCTATAGACAAGCAAGACCACCCCCTTTGCACCGTAAAAAGGGTTGTGAGGCCTGGTGTAAATTAAGGGTGGGGTGGTGAAAACATTGAAATTGCTCAACTGCGAGAGGTACCACAGAGAGAGAGGGTACTTCGATGGAGAATAGGGGGTAGAGTCCAGAGGTGAAAAACATTTTAAACGAGGGCATCAAATTCTGTAATAGATCAGAGAGTGACGATGAAAAAGGCAGCAATGGGGTCGCAATTAGGTAGTGGTGGGTACGATGACTGAAGACAAGAGGGGTGCACATTGAAGGGACACTTAAATCATTGTAATTCATAAAAATATATAATTTAAATATATGTGTGTGTTTAGAAAGTCAGCCATGCCATGCTGTACTACGTGAGGTAGGGTAAGGACCATATTTTCATAGTTTGAAGCATTTGAGGAAAAATTGATAGATTGCGAATAATATATGGAATGTATTCTCAGAACAACACGGAAATTCAAGAATTATGGTTTCGCAGGTACCCCTTACAAAAAATATATATTCCAACACAAGAACCTGGTAGGGTCATTGCAACGTAATCCTGACAAGATAAATTTAAATATTTATATTAATAGAAGTAATATAAACGTCTCTTGTTTCAGACATCACCCCCCACCCCCTGCTCCCCACAGCCTCCATTATCCCACGGACCCTGCTCCCTGTCACCCTGCCTTCGTCATGTACCACCCCACGTAGAGTCTCTGTCAGACCCAGGACCCCTGTAATGACCCAGTACCCCCCTCACAGATCCTGTACCCACCATATTCCCTTTATCGATTTACTCAAACTCGGTTTGTTTTGAACTAGAGCAAGACGTTTCCCCAACCATGCTATAGTGATGATATTTCTCAATCTTGCATCAATAGAATATTGCATAGCCTTGATGATGCAGGTCACCGATGGAAGTGCAAGCCCTGGTAGTGCCTGGCTTGGGATGGGATGGTCAGAATGGGTCAGTACCCCTGGAGTAGAAGTAACTACCCCCTGTAAAATACCCCACCCCTGTCATTGAAGGGTCTAGTAAGGTCCCGCTCCATCCTGCCCCCGTTCATCCTGCGTGAGAGGAGGGAGATTGGAGCTCGGTCTCCCCCTCGCAGCAGCTCTCCTCCTCTACCGGCCTTCGTCCCTCCTGTGAGCTGACATCCTCGACTCCTCTTCTCTCTTTCGTCTTCTGCTCTTCTTCCTCAGTAGACGAATCGAAGTCCCCAGAAAGGCGGTCAGGAATCAATTCTTCGGGCAGGCGGTCCCATCTAGAGCTGCACCTTGGCTGGGACTATTTGAGCCTTGTAGTAGGAGCACAACCTTGCTGCAAATCATCTGTATTCCTTATTCTTTCACGCTTCCTTCACAAATGCATCCGACATACACAGCTCATATGGCTGATTATAGCCCTTGCGATCCTTGTACAAACTCTCCATCCCGTCGGCTTCAGGCTTGCAGGATGACGGCGCGGTGGAATGCTCGAAGCACACTTGTGGTCTCGGTGCTTGCCCTTGCGATGCCTCTGGCAGGCGCTGGGAACCCAGTGCTCACCCTGCGTGGCGGGTGGGTCAGTCCGCTCCTCCCAGAGCTGCTGCCGTCTCCCAGCACGACAGACATCGGATCCAAGACGAGGCAGGCAACTCTTGCTCGCTCAGAGACAGCAACTCGATCTATCTGGCGACTATACCCGGCACAGAAGGTAAGACCTGCTACACACGAGCTCCTGTTGTATCGATCTGCTATGACTCCTGTGTGGTTTTGTTATGTGAGAACGAGGGTGAGTCGGTACCTGATATCATGCTGCAGACGTCTTCGGAGGAGGTTTGTTCTGCGGAGCAGGTGGAACAGTCGATCGTCATCGAGGCTTCTGCGGAAGACTGCTTCCTGGCAGCTACGCGCTATGAGGACTACCCCAAGTGGGCAGCAGGAATGAAGGACGTCAAGGTGCTCGAGAAGCGATCGGACGGGCTCGGAGTCGTTGTGGAGTTTGTGAGATGAAAGTCTCGATCCTGTCTCCATGCTCATCGCTACCTGCAGGTGATGGGGATCTTTGGCATGACCACGAGGAACAAGATGAAGTACGAGTACCGACGTCCACACAGCATGAAGTGAGATCGCCGCAGTCACCTTCTCCCTTCCCCCTTGCCCTTCCTCCGCATCCTCTCGTCTCTCGCACGTGGTAGCTGTCTCTGATTGTTGGCTTTCAGCTGGCATGTGACTGAGGGAGGCATCAAGGAGCTGGTCGGTCGTTACGATTTCGTGCCGCTCGGCCCAGACAGGACGAAAGTGGTTTACAAACTCCGTGTGGAGCCTGGCTTCCCTTTCCCTCAGGTGTTTCCTCCTCCCGGCCCCCTGCTGCCATCTCCAAATTGCTGCCATCTCCAAAATGTTTCGTTTCTTCAACCGCCGCCCCTTCCTCGTTCAGATTTTCGCCTGCTGACTTCTCGTTGGCGTCTCAGATGCTGAAGAAAGCGACGTCAAGAGCGGTTGCCAGCGCAGCGCTAAACGATCTCAAGAGGTGAGGAGTAACAAGTTGAGAGGATGCCGCAGGTCTGACTTGTAGGGCAGGTGGACTGAGTCAAAGGCTCGTGAGGCAGCGTCGATGTCCACGGCAAGTAGCGCTTCAGAGGAGAGTGATGAGAACTCGGAGGTGTCGACAGAGGCTGTCAGGCACCTAGTAGCCTTGTGCTAATACAAGCCTTGGCGCTTACCTCCTCTCTTTCTCTCACGCTGTTCTTGCCTAGTACAACACAAACTGTACAACACAAACTTGCCTGTTCTTCTTTATAGTCTCAATCGTCTCGCTCACACGAGCTTCTTCTCCCTCCAGCATTCCTACTGGGCCCATGGGCAGGTTTCTGGTAACTTAAGTGAAACATCACTGGAGGCATCGCATTGACAGCTCGGGCTTTCTATTTGGTTCAAGTCGCAACTTCAGCTCATCTTGCTCTTGAGCTTCTTGATAGTAGCCCTCAACGACTTCTGCTCCCTTTCCAGCCGCTCATGTCGCAACTCCTGCAACTACAACAGCAAGTCAGACTGAGCTTATCGCATCGCCTTCCTTTCATCAATTTCTCATCTCCTACCATGTGCTTCACCGCACCTCAATCTCCTCTCTCCTCCCCACTCCTGTGTTCTCCCACAATTCTATTATCCCTGTCGATCCCTAACCATCTTATCCACAATGATGTCCGAAATCACGCGCCTCCTCTCCTTGTCTCACCTTGAGCGCCTGCTCTTCTCGGATCTTCTTCTGCGCATAAGAGGCGCTTCTCAGGATCGAGCGGTCGTGATGCTGCATATCCTCGAACGCCTGATGTTGAAGTTGCATGCCATGTCAGTGGCATAATTTAATCCATAGCTGTCCCCCCTGCTCTCCCCTGCTCCCCCCTGCTCCCTCCTGCTCTTGCATTCCCTGCTGTCATTGCCCTTCGCTCCGACCTCCCTGTCTATCTCCTGCACCCTCTGCTCAACATTCTCGTCTTACCTTTTCATCCGTGGCGAGCTGCTTGGAAGAGTCCGCGCCATGCCTGTCATGCACGAGTCAACTTCCGCTCACGTCTCGAAGTCCATCATGACCTTCCGGCTTTCTTCGCCTCCATCGCTCGGCGACTGATCGCTTGCAGCCTGCAGGAGAATCAACACGAGTGGAGAGGAGCTGAAAACATGGAAGAGAGCGGAGAATAATGGGGAGAACGACGTGCACGATGGGAAGCGAAGACCAGCGACGAGGGAGTGGGTAGGGAATCGACTAGGTTGCAGCAAGCAGGGGAGAAGGATCCGAGCAAGGAGGAGCAGGAAAGAAGAGGCTTACAGCGCCTCCTTGGCCTTCAGTAGTCGAATCATCGCATTCTGCACGGCTCCTCCTCCTCTGGAAGACTTTCGGTCCACCTCCCTCTCGTCAGAGTTTGCCAACGCTCCCGTGGAGCTCAGAGAGGAGTGATGGGAGAGACCCAGGTATCCTCCACCATGCGCATCCTCTTGCTGCTGCTTCATCACCCGCTTCTCCAGCTGCTTCACCTTGAGAGCCTCGAGCTTGCGCCTTTCGTCTAGTGCCTTTTGCCTTTTCCTCTCAGCCTGCTCCTTCTCCCTTGTCTTTTCCTCCTCCCGCGCAGCCTGCTCCCTCAGCCTCATCGCTCGCTTGTCCGCCTCCTCCTCTCCAACGGGATAGAGCCAGCTCATCACTGCTGACTTCACATTTGCACTCTCGAGCGCCTTCTCAGCCATAGCCTCCGCCCCCTTGGGCGAGTTCGACAAATTCTCGAAGTAGGCAAAGGCGCGCTTCCTGTTGAGGATCGTCTGCTTCTCCACCAGCGGCTCCAGCTCCTGTTCCATGCTCTTCCCACTCCTGCACTTAACATCTGCTCCTGATAGCACAGTATACCCACTCAGCGTCAACTGCGACGTCTCCCCGGTCCTCAGCCCGAGGTCGTCATACCCCGGGCCGGCGGGGACAATCTTGAGCCAGGAGTTGTGAGGAGCAGTAAAGGGTTTCTCCCAGGGCAGGACGAAAGAAGAGACGAGGATCTTCGCCTTAGAGTTGGGGACGGAGGGCGGGACACAGTCACTGAAGACACTGGCGAGCCGATTGTTCAGCTGCACCTGCTCGCTCCCCAGCTCGCTCTCCCACATCTCAGAGCCACAAGTCTCCTTGGCGCAGCTCAACGCTTGCTCGTCCCAGTGCCTCAAGCATGACTGGCAGATCTCCTGTGATTCCGCGGAGCTCTTGCTAGCGCCTCCTCTCTCTCCTCGCCCCTTTTGCCGGGAGTCCGCCGCCAGCTCCCGGTCGACCTTCCTTAACTGACGATGATGTCATGCTTAGGCTGCAGCAGACTACAAGAGCTCACCTTCCTCTCAAGCCTCGCGATCTTCTTCCTCTGATCTCTTCTCAACTTTGGCTTGGCGATCTTGATCGATTCAGCTGCTTTCTCGGGGTCCGTGGGAGGGAAGGAGAGAATGTTGCTGTAGCTAGCAAGCTCGTTGTCGTATTCCTTCACTTCGTGCCCTCCCACTGACTTTCGCGTCAACCTCTGACCACTGCCAGCATCTCCATCTGCATTGTCAAGGATACTGGAGTACGAGGCGAGCTCAGACTTGGCTGTGGTCGCTGCCTTGGAACCACCTGCTCCTGTACCGTGGGATCCAAACAGGTTGTAACCTGATGACCCGGTCAGCCACACGACGCAGCAGCAAGCAGCTTCAGAGAGAATCACCAGAGAGCTCTTTAGTGACTTGCTTGTACTGGGCTGGGATGGAAGACCACACATTCTTCCATCCTCGATCGATGTAGCCATCTCCTAAGATCGAAGATCTTGAGACGTCTCGTGCTTGCAAGGTTTCTAAGATCTGCACATCTCCATTACAAGCATTCCAGCGCTGAAAGTTTTTCAGGGAAAAACCTGTCTTGGCCGGAAAATGGCTAGAGCGATCAGGCATGCTGAGAATACGACGGCAGCATTCAATAACAGAAACTTCCCCTTCATTGCAGTCATGGTCTGAGTTGCCAAATCTCTTGACTTGTCGTGCTGTCTTTCCTTCTTGTATTCGTATCTCTTCGCTCAGCGTGTGTCTCCGAGCACCAGCTTCTTCTACTCTCTCTTCTCTCTTGCTCCTTCTACTCTCTCTTGTATCTTGCTCTCTCCTTCAAGCCAAAATGTCCTACACCACGTCGACTACCCTACAGGTTTCTTGTACCCCAAGTCACAGTTTAATGGTCCTTCATCACCCTGTATTTCATCGATCAAATGGGGGGTCATAGTACCCACCCTGGGATGAACGAAAGCATAACAGAAACCTTCTGAAGAGACAAGGAAAACGAGTGGTGACTGATCAGTGAGGCCGGCCCGGCGCCGCCGCCCGGCCCGGCCCGGCCGGTACTGAGCCCCGGGCCCGGTCGCCGCCGCCGACAGGCCCGCCCCTGTTGACAGTAGTGTGATGCCACGACGGTGTGCATGACGGTCTCAGCGACGGAGGCTATGGAGATGATGGAACGTATGCCCCTGTTGACAGTAGTGTGATGCCACGACGACGGTACCATGCCGCAGTGCCGTTCACAAACCCATATGCAGCCCCTAGCAAATCTGGTCTTTTTTTTTCTACTTTTTTGGGGGTTCACATGGGGTCCGTATATACACTCCCTGTTGACTACCCCCTGTTTTCACCGATCAAAGGGGGGGTAGAGAGACTGGACAAAAGCGGGGTGGGGTGATTTGAATTTCTCTGGCGTGGAACCCTTCCCCCGCCTTGGTTTTAGAGGTACTGCAATTTTAGTTTTACCCATCACATACATGGTAGTATAGATTGTACTGTATGAAAACATATTGGTACAAAAGAGAGGTTTCCTGGTACAGAAGTTCCCCCCTCCACCACCCTACCCCCTTCTTATCGGTAGTATCTCCTCACAGAGGATATTTGAATCCACAGAGAAATCCCTCAATGCTCACTGTTATGAATACTCACTGTTATGCGCATCCACCAGTCATTTATGTCGCATGACGTTTCTTCCTCAACAGCATCCCGTCACTGTGCGCTAGAGGAACGGGGCTTCCTGCAGTCTCCTCTCCATCAGGAGATTCTGTTCCTGGAGCCGCTGAGCCGCCCTGGGTGTTCGGCCTCTGCATACTAGAGCGGACAAGTACGTGCAAGCTGGAGAACGCTATCAGGGATGCGACTAGGCTGGCACCAAGAGCTGAGGAGGCTAGTCGTCCTCTTCTACGCTGGCCATGGGATGAAGGCAGGAAGGGCCAAAGAAGACGACCTGATCCCCTGTGAGGTAGGGACGATGGAGACAGAGGAGGAGGTAGAGGACTACACTGTGACTCTCAGTCTGTTTCCTTGTTGTCATCGATGCCTGCAGATACCGGGAGGGTCTGCAGGAGACGGGACGGCTGCTCCCGCAGCAGGCGGCGAAAGACGCCCTGCCTCGAAAAGAGACTGCTGCAGTCTTTCTATTTGCACAGCATGATGTTGTCAGCCTGGGCATGTGGGTACATTTCTACGAGAAATATGGCATTCAACTAGCCTGACTATTGAACAACATGTCGTGCATCGAGCACCGACATCAACTTCAGGGAAGAGACTCTGAGATGCCCGCCATATCGAGCTGCTGCCATGATCGAGAATAGCTACATTGGACTCGGAGAAGTAGAAAACTGCTACTGCATCTAACGGGCAACTTGACCATGTGTGGGATATGCACTGTCCATGCGGTAGTCATGGACCTTCACGCAATGCAGATGACAAGAAGAAATTCAACAATTCGGTTCGAGCACACTTCACTCAGTTGTTGTGGCAGCTCCTTCAAAGTAAATTAATGTCTGAGTAAAGTCGCGTTCAATCTGGATGCCTCTAAATCTCTGTGTGAAACGTGCACAATCGTACCATTCTTTCGAACTTGAAAGAGATGCATGTGTATTGCGTCCTCTAATTTCGTTTCAAGGTGACTGTCAGTGCGCCCTCGAAATATAACGAACCTGATCCAGCCTGTTGGTTCTAACATGTAGGGTTCATCCTTGAAAGGCACAGGAAATTCTCTGTTCTGTAAGAGTGATGTACTGATGGTCCAACTGCACTGACCTTTTCATCCGGGGTTTCAAGAAGGGCTTCCCACGTTTGCGAAACCGTGGCAGTTGACTATACTACCGTAGTCCTAATCTTGTGCAGATCGATGTTGAGACGGAAGAAATTAGTTTGTTTTCTAGTGTTAAAGAAGTTGACATTCTTCCTTTCCAATTTCGGATGATTCCACTTCGAAATTTCACCATGAACGTGGTGTAGTAATTCAAAGTGCACAGAATGATCGAAGGCATTTGCTGCAAGGAACAACGGTGCCTCTTTGATGTATCTCATGCGAATGAAGAGGATCACCTTGTTCTCTTGCTCCAATCTCCTCCTTTTGGCAATGCCGAGGGATGAGGCAGCCCTTGACGACGGTGGCCGCCCCGATTGCGCCCGCCGCCATTCAACGGTCCGTCAAGGCAAGGAGGATTGCAACTGGTACTGACTCGTTGAAGTACTGAGTACCATAGGGTATGTGTCGGTACCGTACTGTAACTACC